ATATACAGGGTGATTCTAAAAAGATGGGCAAAATTTTAGGAAATGATAGTACACACCCATGCAAACAATTTTTATCAAAGAATGCATGGTCGAAAGCAAAACGCAAAGGTGCTGGCGCATTTGGAAAGTTGTTTGGTGCAAATGTGAAAGCTCCATTCTTGTTGCGAGTTACTGCACTGCGTTACTTGTCGCCAAGCTTTCGGCCGCTGCAGGGAAAGTTCGTGATATGACTGGTGTGCTTCAAAATGTTCGCCTATCTTTTCTTCGCCGTTGTACTGCATGCATAGCAGCTGCCGGCCACTGTTTAGAACACTTATTGTAATCACATGCCATTAAATTTGCTTTTATAACTTCATCGTTCTTTGTGTGTTTTTGCCTCATATAAGAACATAAACTTTGACGCCCTCTAGCGGTTTTGAGTTTTGTTTTCGATCATGCATCGTTGATAAAAATTGTTTGCATGGGTGTGTGCTATCACTTCCTAAACTTTTGCCCATCTTCTTAGAATCACCCTGTATGTATATATATATATATATATATTAAATTTCGCACTGAAATTGATTTTATTATTGATTGGTATTCTGTTTAACTACATTTTCAAATCAAAGGCATTATTATATGTTACTGAAATAACCGTAAAAAGTTTTCAAAGGAAATGTTCTCTTCAGTAAATTTAAAAGTTGGAAAAAATTAACGCTCTCTCTCTTTGCTTTCATTCCTGTCCTCCTATGAGAGAAGAAGAACGAATTGAAAAAATGTTGTCGCTTTCACACCGCATTTACTCCCTTCCTTGTCTTAAATAGAGAAGGAATTGAAAAAAAAAAAAAAATGCTGTTTCGGATTCTCTTTTGGTTTTCCAAAAGTTGCTCCGAGAATGACGATCTTTTCTTTATTTTATCCATTGTTCATTTGCACTTTTCTTTTATCAAATTATTGACTCAAAAAATCAGTAAAATAAAAGAAGCAAAAAAAATATATACAGTCGGACCTCTATTTAACGAAGTCGACAAATCCCGATAATAAGTTCGTTATATTGAAAACTCGTTAAATAGAAAAATCCCCTTTTAAAAAACTTGACTGGGTGCGTAGCTAAATCTTTGAATCAAAAATAAGCACTTTTTAAAAACTTTTCAAGCACTTTACAAAAATTTTCAAGCACTCAAAAAATTCATATTGAATCAATATTATTGAAAAACAAAAACGTTTTATGAACAGTTTTAGCATTAAAAATAAAAAAAACTCAATAAGAAACGGACGTAAATCGAAACAATCAGTAATTTCCCACATCACCGAGTGAATTCAACTTGACTCTGAACAAAAGTACCCTTACCCCCTACATCAAAAAAGTGTTAGAAGTAAAATAAAATGAACAAGAATAAAATTATAAATTAAAAAGAGAAACATTTAATAAGGATCTGACTCTATCCGAATTGGAGCACTCGGGTTTCAGTTTCGAGAGAGTACGCGCATGCTCAAGTCATAACGTGGATACGACATGAAGTCCGTGTGAATGATGACATAGCAAACATCCCATTTTTCGTGAAATACAGGGGATCCGCCAGATATCACTGAAGGAAGAAAAAAATTATTCGTGAAAAAAAGGCACTTTTTAAAAACGCCAGCTGAAACAAGCACCTTTAAAAGCTTTTAAAAACGAAATCTCGCAAAAAGCACCTTTAAGTACTTTTTACAAACGCTACGCACCCTGCTTGAACAACACAAAACGGGTTTTAAATTCAGAAACACTAGGCATAATTAAAACAGCGATGGATGCACCTTTATCTTGTAAACTAGTATCTACTATTTATTTCATAAATCTTAACCATAAAAGAAATTTGTATGGAAAGCAAGTATAGAGTATAACATTATCCAGTTTTACACTATAATGCATTTTCAACTAAAAAAAAAAGCTAAACTGATGTATAAATTGATAGCTGCAGTTATCACAAAAGTAATTTTTAACATACATTACCACATGCGTTCTTATTTTACTGATTCTTCTAAAATAACTTTTAGAGTAAAACTTTAAATAGGGCTTCGAAAATCAATTCAATGTCATTTCCCCCATAAAATCCGTTAACAAGTTTGAAATGTTCTGAAATATTTTAGAAAATAGGGAAAGTAGCTCTTAACGAAAATTTCCTTAAATATAAAATTCAATTCGTTGCTTAAAAAATTTAATAAATAGCATTGCTGTTAGCATTAGCATTGACTGTTTTGTATATTTAAAAAATTCAATTGATTTTCAAAATGTCATTTTCCTGGTATGTCACAAACAATATTTCCAATATTAACTAGCTTCAAAACTTCCCATTACTTATTCAATATCGTATTTTTTTTTTATCTCAACTGTTGTTTTCAAGAATATACGCAGAGGGTATTATTGACAAAAAATGTGTTGAAATTTATTTTTTCTGTCAATAATTTGTTTGTCAGGCGAAAATCTGTCACTTTCCTGTCTACTTTTATTTACTGATTTATAACCAAAATCGATAGCGCCAGCAATCTATATCTTATGTTAATAGATTGCTTAGAATACCATCCTATCTGAGCGCGTCTTATTGTATGAATAAAGAACCAACTTTCCAACTTTCCGGTTGGAAATGCCAACTTTCTGGTTCAAAATCTATTTCAAACAATTTTTCAAGGTGAGTAGGTTTTCATGTTGTCATTTTCCTGTCTTCTTGAAATCGTAAATAACATTAACTACATAGATTTATCTGAATTATTTCAGGAAATCCTGCTGTTTTCTGCCGAATGTAAACGTCTTAGGCCAAAATGTTAAATTATAATAAAGTTAAATGCTATAAAAGGGCAAATTTGTCATTATCCTGACTGTCATTTTCCCGGCTTATGACTCACAGGACATTGACGTGTTACCAGAAAACAATATATAGTAAAGAGGAAAAGCAAATATTAACCTAATACCAGGCTTATACAAGATTGTAATATGCTTGAATGTGATTAAAGTTATTTATTTATTTAACGATTGATTATTATACACAATTTTATTCCGTACATATCAGCAACAAAAGTTTTTTTGATTCTTTCTACAGTGGATGAAAGAATTAATTTAAGTAGGGTAAACCAACCAGTGAAGGAACACTACACAGTGAAGGAACATTCCATATTTAGTGATTAAAGATAAGAATTTGAAAGTTTTTCTTTATATTGATTGGTAACAATAACTTACTGCCAAACAATGGGAAGTCATCTAGCAATGTTTTGGATTAGCTGGCCACATAGACTTCTCTGGAAAAATGTTTTAATTTGTTATTATCTCTGCAACACCTTGTTTCTTTGAAAAAATTATAAGATGAGTGTTTGTATTTATGCGTTTGAAGTGGAATTAATTGCATGTAATAGTTTTATTTTTCTCACTGCGAAAATGAGAATTCAAAATATAGTTATTGAAGTTACGTTTTATTTTTTTAACCATCATAGCATAATCAAGTACTGAAATAAGGGGGTGTTTATTCACTGGATCACCATACGATGAAAAACCATTGAGGGAACAAGTGTTCCTTTATTGGTTTTTTTCTCAGTTAATGAAAATAAAAGAAAAACATTAATTTTCTTGCACCTTTAGTGATGTTTTGCGTCAAAAGTATGTTAAAAATACAAAAAACAACTTCTAACCAGTGAAGGAACAGGCATGTTCCTTTACTGGGCATAGATTTCCCATTGAATGAACAGTATGTGTTAATATGTTGAGACTTTAATTTCCAATTCATGATTGCAAAAAAAGTTAACATTCTCCAAGTATTTGTATGTTATAATTTCAAGAATAGGCTTGCTTTTAGATATTCGTATGGCATATAAATTCATAAAGAGCATTAAAGAATAACCAAAAATAAGTGTTCCTTTACTGGGTGTTCATTCACTGGTAAGAGCTGTTCCTTCACTTGGTCTTCTTACTACTTGTTATTTGAACCTCCAAAACTTAAAAACAATATTATGTAAGTTCTCTACAATTTTTTTACATAATTTGCAATTAGTAGCAAATATGTTGACACTGTCATTTAACTGAAATTTACGAATTTCGAAATTAATATGATTTTTTAAAAGACAAGAGAAGCTTAAGTGTTCCTTCACTGGTTAGTTTACCCTAATTCATGGTTCATCTAACATAAAGGCTTAAGTTGAGTTACTTACTATTAGCTTAAAATCACTGTTATTCAAAATTTGGTGAATTTCTATATTATTTTTTTTCCTTGAGCAAATATGTAATTAAATAAATACAAAAAAAAATTTTTTGATTATTTTGAAGACTTTAAATTCGAAGAAATATTTTGTTCCGAATTGTCATGTTTCCAGAGAATCACCCATATACCAAAATGACAATTTGAGAAGAAGAAAAAATAGTATTCAGAAAAATTCTCTCAATAATTACCTTTTCGAATTTCGAATTTTCATTTACTGAACGGATTTAATATTATTGAATGCATGCACAGCATAAAATGACTACTTTCCTATCTTAAAAAAAATTTTATGGCAATTTTTTCATCTTTTTTTTTTAGGTACTAGACTATTTTTTTGTTTCAGTTACAAGACACAAAATGTATAATAATAATAATGTATAATAATCTGTTGGAATAATAATATGTCATTATACAAAGGAAACAAAACATACCTTCCTGTCTTTGTGATGATCATTTCTGTTCCAAGTTCGTTAAATTTCTCCCACAAATCTTTGTTTTCTAGAATGCACTCAACGCGCAGAAGATCTTCGCAATTGCAACGACCCTTCAGCGTTTCCGCGTAAGGATTCGCCGATGCAGACGATTCCGGGGAAGAACGTCGCTTCACCTGCTGCTGAGGTTTCTTCGGACGAACATCCTCTTCGTTTACGTCACTCCCCTGCAAACACACACCCCCCTATTACTTAGTTATTCATAATAATGGGGATACATTTTGGATTTGCAAGTTTCTATGAAAACTCAATTATAATTGAAAAACTCGTTGGAATTTAACTTTTCATTAAAAAAATGTAACAACAGCGTCAGTTTAACACTTAGAAAGACTGAAATACCTATATTGCCCAAACCTATATTATATACCTATCTTGCCCAAGAGCAGTCAAAATGACTGGATTGTAAAAAGAATAAATAACGTGTAAAGAAATTTGTTTAACATTAATTTTTGATATTTTTTTGTTTACTATTTACAGTTATATAACAAGTTATTAGTAAATATTAACAATAAAAAATTGTATGTTGTACAAAATTCTGAGAAATTGTGTCATTATATACATCATTGTTTTTCGAATTGAAATTAAAAAGCAGTCAAAATGACTTTCTTAGGCAATCTAGTGTTAAGAACAGTAAAACCTCGCTACAACGATATTTTGGGGAGCCAATAAATATGTTGTTGTAGAGGGATATATTGTTATATCGAGGGCCTACATAATTTGGGGACGCAATAAGATTTTTTTTTCAAATTTAAATGTTATACATGCATTACTATACTATAACTATACTATACTTACTATGCATTACTATACTATGTACTATATACTGTGTATTACTATATACTATGTATTACTATACTATGTACTATATATACTATGTATTACTATACTATATACTATGTATTACTTTACTTACTATAACTATATTTATATATTATATAAAAAATAAGATTAAATTAGATTTTTTTCTAAGTTTAAATGTTATACGTGTATTAACTGTAAATATACAGTCGGACTTCGATTTAACGGACTTTGCGAATTTCTCTAGTTTGCGAATTTTTTCGAGGTACCGAGAATATTTTGGAAATTTCTTCGTAAAATAACTTCCAAACAACGAAGTGAATTTTCTATTTAGCGAAATTTTCTTTGAGATCCACTTTGCCTATTTCCCAATTCCCTATTTAACTTCCACTTTCCCTATTCAAAATTTATAATTTTCTCAGTTATAATTTTCTACAGCGAATAAATGTAGTCAAAATTTTATACAAAAATTTAGCGGTTTTTAGTTGAAAATGTTTATAGAATGATAGTGTAACACTGAATAATGTTCTTGCTTTTCATACATATTTCTTTTATGGTTAAGATTCATTAAATTAAATAGTAGATACTACTTCGAAAGATAAATGTGTATCCATTGCTATTTTAATTATGTCTAGTGTTTATGAATTTATAACCCGTTTTGTGTTGTTTAAGTATTTCAAAAGATGATTTTTGTTTTTAACGAATTTTCCATATAACGAACTTATTATCGGGATTTAGCAACTTCGTTAAATAGAGGTCCGACTATATTTATATATTAGATAAAAAAATTAATTTGCTGAGTGTTAATTATGGTTAAATATTAAAAACATTTGAAATAAATTCAGAAAATAAGATTGTAAGCATACCAGAAAAACGTTTTTATTGAGAATAATCTGATATTTCTTTTGTTTATTCATTTTTTTTTACTGTCAAGTTAACCCACAAAGCATGCATTGAAACCAAAGCCCGAAAATGTATTTCGTTTGTAATGGGTGCCCCCCCCCCCTACACTCTACAGAAAAAATTATTTTTCAGATGTTAATGTGACGCTTGTGGTCATGATCAGCTTTTAACATAAAGGAATCAGATACGAAAGTTACATCTGTGACTTCCTAAGAGAAGAGGGAGGCAATTCTAAGAACGGAAGGTCTTCTGGTGGTCAGCCGTGAGTCTTCTTTTGTCAGAAAATATTGAAAAAATGTGGCAAAAGATGATAAATAAGATCTTTTTTACATTATTTGAAAAGGAGGAATAAGGAATGGAGAGAATGGAGAAAATAAGGCTGAAATTAGGAGAGAAAAAAAAATCGCTTTACAGGGGTTTATTGCGTCAGAGAATATGGTAATTTTGAGAGGAGCATTGACATTAATTCATGCTCAAGTTTGTCGGGACTACGAAACATTATCTTAATAAAAGAACGATCGATATCCAATCCAGTACCCCCAGAGGTATTGATTTGTTATGTGAACATGGAGGACTTTTGCGACTCGACAGATTTAATGTGCATCAGTCACTTTACTACGCGGGGAGTCCTCGGCCGGCTGGCTTCGAGCCCATGATTTCTCGAACATGGGCCCAGCGACCTACCCACTAGGCTGTCGAGGAGGTAACAGGTAGAATTCAAGATGTTTATAAGAAAATAGATGGTCTCTTAACGGAAAGGCCCCCGTAAAGTTCCGATTGTGAGGTCCGAACTCAACATGTTGATCAGAATCAGACGAGCGGAAGACACTTTCGGAGGAACAATGGATGGTGACTCATCGGAAACACGATAAGAATTCTAAAATGATCTTGAAGAGACATTATAAACAATTTCTTTAAAAGAAGAAGGAGGGAAAACGATCCTTTAATGGACTCATATTCTATTTCATCTCCTGCATATCATTCGAAACGATCGAACAACTACAAAGATAATGTTTTTGATGCATCGTCACACATTTGTCCTTCTTGAACGATTATTTAAACACGGGGCCAAATCTAAATAATGACAGTTTTTTTGACATATTAATTAAAATGTCGTCACTATTTACGCAAAGTCGATTTATCCAAATCAAAATTGTCCAGGTCGCGTGATAGTGATCGTTTTAGTTGGAGTGATGATTTCGATGCTTTAAATTTGGATTCGTCGCTGCTTCTATTAAATTTATTTATTTTTAAAAAAAGTACACAATTCTGACACAGTGAAATAGAATTGAACAGTTTTTATGTTCATTCAAGAAGCAATAAAAGAAAAATCTTCCATGAAGCAGACTAATTCTGTAAATTGTGAGAAGTGAAATTATATTAATTTTACTTTTTGAGTATTTTGCCATATTTGATTGTTGTTGTAGTTCATTCACGCCGCATTAGAGCTGCACAATGGGCTATTGGCGACGGTCTGGGAAACATCCCTGGGGATGATCCGAAGACATGCCATCACAATTTTGATCCTCTGCAGAGGGGATGGCTCCCCCTCTTCGGTAGCCCAACGACTTGCGCGCGAAGTCGAGCACTTTACGGTAGAGCAGTTTAACGAGAACCCATACAGCGCACCCTCGGTTCTAACGCAGACTGATCCAAGTGGTCACCCATCCGCCCACTGACCGCATTCAGTGATGCTTGACTTCGGTGATCTGCTGGGAACCGTGTCTTAACGATCAGTCCACTGCGGGACGAAGAAAAGTGTTGAAAGAAGCAATAAATAAAAAGAAACGAAACTTCAATGAAGTGGGCATGCCATGAAGCAAACTAATTCTACAAAGTTGTGAGAAGTGAAATTATGTTAATTTTACTTTTTGCATATTTTGGGATATTTGATAACATCTTGAAAAAATATTTTGTACGCAAGTATAAAATTTGTTTAGCCAAGGATAAATTCTGTAAAAAAAATAATTTTTGGTCATGACTTTTATATCATTTTAATGAATGTAACTTCATTTTTAAAGGGTAAAATATAAAACGTGAACACAATCGATCGAATAGTCTTTGAGTCATTTTAAAAATATCGTCCATTCAAAATTTGATTTCTCAAAAGATCTGCTGTCCCAAGGACCACTTGTTATTATTGGATGGTGGTAATTTCAAGGGTCTCGAACCAGTTGACGCTGGACATGATTTTCTCTTCCCTTGATATACTTCTTATAATTAAGAAACAACACTCAAGCACCTCTATAAATGATTATTTTTCAGGGTTTGCTTATTGAAGGAGGTGACTTCGGTTATATGAAACCAACGAATTAATCAGACAACACAGTTTTAAATACAGTCGAACTTCTATTTAACGAACTTCCCTTTTACGAATTTCTTTATTTTGCGAATGTTTTCAAGAAATCGAACACATTTTGGAAATTTCTTCGTAAAATAACTTCCAAATACTAGAAGTGAATTTTCTATTGAACAACCTTTTTTTCGGGATCCACTTTCCCTATTTCCCAAAATATTTCAGAATATTTTAAACTTGTTAACGCATTTTATGGTGGAAATGCCCTTATTTTGATTTTTGAAGCCCACTTAACTTTTAGAGAAAGCAGTAAAATCCCTTCCCCCCCCCCTTTTTTTTTTCTTTCTTTTTCTCATTTCAAACGAAAAACTCATTAACGGATTTTATCAGTAGCCATTAAACTTAAGAACGCATGTGGTAATGCGTGCTTGAAACTACTTTAATAATTAATGCAGCTATAATTTTACTCATAAATTTTGCTTCTTCTTAGTTGAAAATGTATGCAGCATGATAGTGTAACACTGGATAATGTTTTGCTCTATTCTTGCTTTCCATGCAGAAGGGTGTATCAATTGATTTTTTTAATTATGTCTAGTGTTTATGAATTTAAAACCTGTTTTGTTTCGTTTAAGTACTTCAAGAGGTGATTCTATATTTGACGAATTTTCCATATAACGAACTTATTATCGGGATTTAGCGACTTCGTTAAATAGAGGTCCGACTGTATTATGGGTATCAATTGAGACCCTTTTGACTTCCTAACATCCAATGAATAATTAGAAAGGAAAACTTGTTTTACTTTTAACATGAATTAACAACTCAGGATGACGAATTAATTATGTGTAATGGAGTCATTTATTTTACTTTATCTTTCGTTCGCTCTCTGCCGCAGATAAGAGACTTTTGCGTGTAATGATGACATGAAACTTGATTGCTGTTAAAATCAGCAGAATAAGCACGTTTAAAAAAACGTTTATTTTAAGAAGATAAAACTGCTGATTTCTCCTGGTGATTCTGTTGTGTAGTTCCCCATCTGTTGCACAAAATCACCTTAAATCAACTATGTCAAAAATGCCATTTTTTTCACGAAGGAACAGAAAAAACAAAAAATGAAGGCATAAATAAAAGGTAACAAGCAAACATCTCCGTTTTTTATAGACTCAAAGGAAAATCAAAAAAATTCAAAATGACATATCAGTGATTAAACACGTTTAAAAAAATCCAGCTTTTCTTTTTTAATCGAAACTGATTTTTTTTTAAGCTGCCACTGTGGGGCAGAAGACCATGATCTTTGGCCAAAAGTCAAAAATTAAATTTCAACTAAAATATGAGTTGAGAGTATTAATATAGCCCAAATTAAGTATTCATAATCATTCATTCAAACATTATAATTTACTTTTTGGACCGACGACAGTACAATGTAATAAAAAATAAGTTAACAAAAAAAATTTTTAAATGTCACTTTTAAATTTTTATTTTAGAAATATATATAGGAATTTCACCTTACTGTTTACATTTTTATCAGAGTAATTAATCTGAAATTATATTACAATTTTTCAATGTGTCGAATTAGTTAATACTCTTGACACACATATAGTTTATATCTTATCATTTAACGTTTCACAATGTTTGAATGACTTCAGAAACTTAGTTCCAAAAATTTCCACGAGGTAATTAGCTAAACTTTTTTTTTTTTCGTCTTCTTTGATGTTTCTTCTTTTGAAAAAACCTGCCCTATTTTGCCCGTATGGCAAAGGTGGACTATAAATATACCGAAAAACAAAAATTATGTTTTTTTCCTCACGTGTTAGCGTTATTTTGTAATATTACTTCGGAAATATAATTTGCTTTTCATTTTCAATATAAAATGACGAAAATTTTTATATTTTCATTGCTATATTTAATTATTTAAACGTACTATAGTATTTTTTTTTAATATTTGCTTTTTTTATATTGCTTAGTGTATTTCAATATTTCAACTATGAATTCAATTTACCTGCACATAAAAACCTCTAAATACAAATTTTGAAACAAATTTTATCGAAATACTAATTTTGGCCTCGAAACCTTTGCTGGCCCACTGTGAGCTGTAGGTATCACACATCAAAAACTTCCTTTTTTAATAAGTGCGAAAAATGGAACAAACGTTATTTTAGTTGAGATGTTTTAAAGAGGATGAATAAAAGATATCTTACCTCTTCTACATCTTCATCTTCTTCTGGGACACTTGATGCTGGCGTGGATCGATCCCTCTTCTGACCTCCTCCGATTCTGTCCCACGTCCCACTACTCTCCGAATCGGACGCCGCAAACGACAATGCATCCCCTACAACAACAGAAAGGATGGAATTTATATAGTGACAAAACTCATGGAATATCAATATGCAAATATCTAGATTGCGGTATATTATCGTGTGCAAATTGTATAGATGACGCAAGACTGGAATGAACAGACTTGCAATGATAGAGCTAGACGCATGGGATATTCCACTTCAGAAATTTTGAGGGAATTTACCATTGCTAGATCTGCAGGGTACCTAATTTCATGCATAACCTTCCCTTATGGACAAGGCAGTGGCACTCAATGACAGTGTTAACAGACAAATTAGAATGTGTGGAATAATCGCAAGCACTTAATCGATTAAAATGGCACCCATTAACCATAATATCAGTCGTGCGTTGTACAAAAATTATGAAGCATTAACAGCATGACCTTCTTTTTTCCATTTCTCCTTTGGTTTTTTAATATATATAGTTTACTTTTTTACTTCAGTTAGTACTTATTAACAGAATTATTTAAACATTATCGTCAGAAACGGTATGACGATTTTTTTCATTCTTTCTAAACGAATGAGTACCCTTTTTCTATTGATTTTCACTTTTTAGTACACAGTTTATTTTATTATTTCAATAAGTACTTATTACCAAAATTAATTCAGCATCATTGGCGTCAATTATAGATTGGAGAGTTTTTACCTTTTTATTAAGTCAAATAGTATCATTTTGTGTGTTTTAGTCCAATAATCCTTTCATATCTATTAGTAGCTATTACTTTACCTGTTATTAATTTAACATATTAGTTACAATATTAACACATTATTAGTACCTATTATTAATTGAAATTCATTGGTAACAGAAATGGTGCGACAATTTCTTACTTACGATTTCTTCATTGCTTATGTTTTTTAAAGCGCAGCTTAATTTTTTTTTTCAACTAGTACTCATTACTAAAATTAATTAAAGTTCATTGGCGACAATAATAGTTTGGTGATTTTTTTTCTTAATTGAATTAATATCATTTTTCCATGATAATTAATCAGAATCTTCTTTTTTTAAATTTCAATTAGTATGCATTAAGAAATTTAATGAAGCATCACAAGCGTCGAAAAGAATTAGCACCGTTTCTCCAATAATTTTTACCTTTAGTAAAGAGATTTTTTCTTTTTTTATTTCAAGAATTTTCTATTTCCTAAACTGAAGGCCGGGATAGTCTGGTTGGTAGGGCACTGGGTCCATATCCAAGAAGTCGTGGGTTCGTTCTCCTCCAGCCGAAGATTCCCCTTTCAGTAAAATTGTGACTGATGCACGTTAAATCTGTCGAGTCACAAAGTCCTCCATGTTCCCATAGAACAAATCAAAACCTCTGGGGGTACTGATCCAGGAGTTTCCTTGTCTTCTGGATTGGGAACATGTTTCAAAAGTAGAACTATGAACAAAAATAGCACGCGAATAGCTTTTGGAAATACACTCATGTCCAAAAATTAAGAATTAAAACAGAATCAATCAGAAGTGTACGGTTGCAAAGAAGTAAAACTGTTCACAAGCGTTCTGTAAGTGCCATAACAGAATAATTATGACACAGACATGATTTTTGGTGGAATTATCGGCGAATGTTTCTCAGATGGAAGTATCAGAGGAATGCTTGGCTTTGGTATTAATGCCAAGATGATGTTAGTAGCCGTTACAGTAGAGGTTGCAATGGAACGTTCTTTCTCGTCAGCTATCTACACTCACGGGTACCACAGTTTCAAGCGCGCAGAGTCATTTTGGAAATATTGTAGGCCGCCTATTGGCTTATATGCCAGAACTCATACGTGTTCCAGCCTGGAGTAGAGTCTGACAAGAAGTCTGATTCGCAGAATGCCATGAACCAAGATGAGCATCATTGAAAGATGCGGGGATGGCAGCACTGGATCAAATCGGAACCTAAATGAAACGGGACACCATTCTGAAGCAATATGCTTAGAGTAGGAACAGAATTGGTGTCCTAACTGATGCAGCACGTCCATCACCTCTAACAAGGCGTACCAGAACTGAGCAACCGATCACAGTAAAATGTTAGAATCCCCTTCGCTCTCGAGATGTTTTCCTAGTTCCATATAACGCATCAAATCTCCAAGAAGGCTAGTTTATCCTTATGGATCCAAATGACAGGGCAACAGCATTGATCGTTATAAATCCAGTCGATTGTCCGACACACCGGTTATAAAATAAAATCGATCGATAATAAGTATGCCTAAGGACCCTGTATTTTATCACATGTATTAACCACTATACCAACCATTAAATTTTTGTGAAGTAGATATTTTTTATAATTGCTCCAGGCCGCGATTGTTCAGGGGATAGTTCGACGCCCAGCGATGTCTGGTAGATACCAAGTTCCGGCTTGTACTAAACACAGTTCAGTGGTAGACGGATCATGGGTCCCTTTGCCCTCAGGCTAACCGTGAGAGGTTTCAGTGGTCTTTTATCTCCATGTAACGCAAATGCGGGTTAGTTTCCCCAAAAAGTCCACCACGCAGGCAAATTTCTCCCTATACTTGATCCAGGATCTCCCTATACTTGACCATCTTCTGAATTGGGTTCAAACTTACAAGGCTACGGGTTCGAACTTTAGTAGTCGTAAACTCAAACTGTTCAACGACGGTTAAAAAACAAAATTGCTCCAGGGAGAAAAAAAAATGTTTTTTGTTCTTTGCTTAATAGAATTCGCTTTAAGAATAAATCACGTTTTTCTTTGTTTCTGCATCCCGACATTATACTTAATTTATGAAAAACTCATTTGATAGTGCGGTCACACGTTCGTGTTGATCGTAGAACTTATCTGACATTACGAATAAATATTAAAAAAACGTGCACTAAACTCCTGAGAACTGTAATTTTCTTCTGCGATTTTTAAACCAATTAAAAAAATTCAATTCTACAAACTTTTCTTCCTAACAATCTGATCTGATCGAAATATTCGAACAATTTTAAAGATCGGGGATTAGAGGTAATCCTTTCACCCACTCTTCTAATTTCAGAGCACTAGACCTTTCTGGAGTTGTAAAAGAAACACACAAAGAAACTCTTTATTTTATTATTCTGGCCAGGGCTTTCCAATTTACATGAGGCCGGAGGCCACAATTAAAAATACCGGTCAAATAGCGGGCCGCAACCTTATCAAAATTTATGTTTAAAGGAACATTAAATATTACTGTCAGATTTTTACCAAGTAGTACAAAACATACGCTTTGAATTACAAATTAAAATACGAAGTATATTTTTAAGCAACACACAGGATAAAATTTGTATTTGAATAAATATTTTATTGGGTGCAAAACCTGAGAAATAAATATTTTTGCACCTTTGGTATGTGAAATTTCGCAGAAACGAAAAAATTAGGTTTTTTTAAACGAAAGAAAAGTATTTCAAACCCCAACAGATTTTTTACGAAAATTGTCCGCAAAAAAATGACAACTAATATGTTTTAGTTCGCGGCCGGATGCCGTCAGTTGGTAACCACTGTGTATATATATATANAACAAGAAAATACACTGTTTGGTCAACTAGGTTTACATGTTAGTGTAGAATGCTTGCAACGTGACCTATTTTCTTACGCTAATGATTATACTTCGAAGAAAATGCTAAATTTTTCTGCACATATCTTACACAATTTTAAGATCCTTGATTTTTAAACAAAGATTTTTTTTGCTTTATATTAATAAAAAATAATGCAAATGAAATTGTTTTAATATATTTTTGTGTTTTCATTCTAATGCAGAGATTTCCAACTTACATGAAGCCGGGGTCCACAATTAAAAACACAAATCAAATGACGGGCCGCAACTTTATCAAAATTTTATGCAATACTCTTTTATGTTTAGAGGAACATTAAATATTACTGTCAGATTTTTACCAAGTTGTACAAAATAAAAGTATTGAATTACAAATTAAAATAAGAAGTAGATTTTTTAAAATATTTAATTGTATATTAAAAAATTCGGGCTACAATAACTTTAATGTGCACGCATGTATTAAACAATTAATGTGCAACAGATATCTAATTGTTAAGATATAAAACTTTAAAAAGGTTGGTATTAAAACTTACATAGTAGCACACAAACCGTTCATTGACAAAATTGAGTTTGTCTGCTGCAACCACCAGAGAATAGATAGTTACATTTTAAATTTAAAATTTACAAATTTGTGTGTAAATATTTTTGTCCGAAATGAGTGGTTTCAAAAAGTTAAATTTAGAGAATTTCTTCGAGAAAATTTTTGATACACACATGCTAAATTATATTCTCACGAAATACAAAAAAAATTAAATAAAAAAGAGCAACATACGCGCTTATTTTTGTATTTGAATAAAAATTTTCTTGATGCAAAACCTGAGAAATAATTTTTTTTGCACCGTTGGTATGATAAATTTTGCAGAAACGAAGAAATTAGGTTTTTTTTAAGGAGAAAAGTATTTTAAACCCATATGGAATTTTTACGAAAATTGTCCCCAAAAAAATTAATTTTAACTCATTAATTTTGGTTTATAGAGTGCATAGTTTATTTTTTTAATTTCAGTTATTTAATTATTTTTTTTAATAAATTTTAATTTCAATTCTCAAATTTTAAGTGCGCATCGTTGACAGGAAAAATTATATGGCGATTTTTTACGTTTCTCTTAAGCGAATTACTATCATTCGTCTACTTAATTTTGCTTTTTTAGTTCATGGATTATTTTATTTTTGGTTATTTTTCGGTTAGTAAGGCGCAAGTAAATTCAACCCCCTTTTTTTTCTTTTAACTTTTTTATGTATTTAACTTTTTTGTGATCATTCGTTCTGTTATGTGTTTAAAAAATAAATTTACGAAAAAATTTGCGGAGGTCTACATTTTTTGGCGACTTAAAGCTTGCGCCCAGCTAATCGAAAAATAACTATTTTCGTTTCTATTAGTACGAATTAGCAAAATCAAATTGAACATTAAGGTATTATTATTACAATTAATAGAAATTAATGAGCGATATTTTTGTTTTTATTGTTTTAATTAAGAATCGAAATTTCAACA